TCGGTGTATAAAATGCATTCGATGTTTTATTATTAATGGGATGCATCGATGCATGCCTTATGCATCGATGCACTAATTGCATTCGATGTTTTTATTTAAAAGAGTGCATCGATGCACTACCTGTGCATCGATACACCTTCAAACAATTTCTGGGTTTTAACCTTGATGCATCGATGCACTCTGCCAGAATCCTCTTTTTGAACCCGAAAATTCATTCATTTTGGATTAAATCTTTCATGTTTAATCCCCTTTTTCATTCTTAACACTAGTACATACTTAAACCAATATATACTCATTTATTTCATCTTAAACCTCCAAATCCTATCCCTCATATGTAATTCAAGAATTACATCAATAATTCAACACCACTTTTAACACTTCGTATATCTTAACTATATTGATGACAAGTCAAATTTAACTTTCAATTCTAGTTATAAACTCTATTCCAAGATTTCATTTAAGAACTTCAAATCTTAAATCTCTCCTAACTCCATCATCCTTTGATGTTAAGATAACTTAAGCTTTCCTTAAGCTTAGTTATCATCTAATAATCAAAAACCAATCTTAAATTTAACAAGAAACTCAATAATCAGAAATCTTACCTTTGTTTTGGTTCACACGCACAAGGAAGAAAGAAGAATAAGAGAACTCTAGAAGCCTTGGGTGTTTTCTCCCCTTCCACCCACGTGTATCCTTATATCTATACTTATCCTTTCTTTAATTATTTTTTCTTGCAATTACTCTATTGTCCTTCCATTCCTTATTCCTTTCAATTCCATCCTACACAATAATTTACATGTAAATCCTTATACTATTCATTCATTTTATTTTAACAACCAAATTTTGAGACTTTACAATTTAGTCACTAACCCGGTATTGAGGATGTTACAACCTCTGTGGATGAAAATGAATAAGAAGTTGAATAATAAGTATCAGAGTTGTGAGATATGGGATCCAGGTTCTTATATGTCATAGCTACAATATCTCGCTTGTTCCAAGAGCAAGAAAGGTTTCCAGCTTTATCTTCAAGGTCATCCAAAATGGCATCTGCAGATACCATACTGATAAAATTGCAGGTTTGAATTCGAGATTGCCCTTTTGTCTAATTGTTTATAATTTCACAACCCTCTTCATGTATAATCAGGTAGCTTTGATCAAGCTGAGAAAGAAATAGCAAAAAGTGGGCTGCAAATGCAATCCTGGAAATAATCATGCTTGCTTTGGTGCACAGAAATGCAGTCGAGAAACCACTTTATGCATTTTCTTAAAACTTTGGCAAATTACTAATGATCTCAAACACTAATACAGCTTTCAATTTCAATGTCTTAAAGAGAAGAAAAGGCAGAGGAAATCTAGATGAGATCTTATTTATAGTAACTTTCTGTAAGAATAGATAAATGTGGTCCTCCAGCAATCCTTTTAATTACTGAGAGTGCAGCAACATGCTTCATGAACAAGATGAACACGTCCCTCTCACCTTTTGCATCAACTTGTTTTAACTGGACTCCATTTACGTGCCTGCACTCCCCCTTCGAAAAAGAAAGTTAACCCAATGTAATTTACATATAGCTGCGGAGAGTGAAAGACAAGAGAGGAGCAATTCAAAGCAAGACTAATACGACCGAAGGAAGCTAACCATTTTCTTTCAGAATTCAATGTAATAATTGCAGAAGATATAGGATCAAGTGGAACAATGAGGGGTGGTGGCATGCAAGGTGGGGGCAGGGAAAAAGATTGACAGCTACAATAAGCAAGGCAAAAGAGCATCCCAACTCTATCTAAAAGGACATTTTAGGGCATGGCCCTGCCCTCTCCACTCCTACAATTATCACCCCTTTCCTTGCATTTCCTTATCTCTTTGGATTGAACAGTCTAACAACCAACCACCACGGATTGGTGCAAACCATAGTCCTAAATCTCATCAGAAAAATATTTACCATTTGTTAACCTCATTCTCTATGTTCTTTTGAAGCTACACATCCTACTATAAAATAACACTGCCACATACTTCACTGGAACTTTTTATTGGCTTAACATCACAAATGATAACCAAAATTAAAATTTTAACAGGTTTAATGTTGTACCAGGATTTCAGAACTTCCCCTTGATTCAAAATCATACACTCCCAACTGTGATCTGAAAAAATGATGCCTGAAGACTTTGTAAATACACGAGTTATATGCTCATTTGTGATGCAAAATTTCAGTATTTTCATCAGCTGCAAGCTTCCGAATAAAATGGCGGTGCCCATCAATGTGCTTAGTTCTGCCATGAAAAACGGGATTCTTTGTCATTGCAATTGTGGGTCGATTTGTCACAAAAAAACTAAGTTGCTTCCTTTTGCTGAAGATTGAAATACTAAAAAGCTTTCTGAGCCATAAAGTTTGTCGTACCGCTGCTGCATATTTTGCTTCAGATGATGATAAAGTTACTGTTTCTTGCTTCTTTGAACTTCTTGTTACTGCTCCAGAACCAAAGCTAAAACATGGTTTTTTGGATAATATAAACAGCCTGCTCAATCACGTCCATGAAATTCACTCCTGCCTTTAGAGGATTCTTCCTTCACTTGAAAAGCTTTTTTCTCGGATTTTTCATGAGACCTGTCAATTCTAGTTTCATTGGTTATCAAAGAACTCATCAATTCCTCAAAAGTATAAATGGATATGCTTAGTTTCTTCAATTGCAGCAATAATTTTGATGTTATTCTTCTTATCACCTTAAAACAATTTCATTGCTCTAGTTTTTACCATAAGATCCCATTTGATTAACAATCTCAAATACCCTAGACAAGATTTCTTGTTTTCATTCTGTCTTTTTTATAATTGAAGTCTCAAAATCACGATGGAAAGTTTATAATTTTACAGTAATTATCTTCTTGTTGTACAAATTCTCTTGCTTCAAAATCTTCCATGCTTAATGAGTTCATGACTTGAATAATACTAGTGATAACTGAAAATTTTAAAAATTAGAAACGCAAACTCACATCAAATTATCCTAAAACCCACAGTGGTAAAAACACATGTTCAAATAATAATAACGGTTAATATCATTTTGAATGATGTTTTCAACAGATGTCGAATTTATGTAAATTATAACAAAAAATAGCCTTTCCCTCACTGCGGAAATGGTAGTGATTCCAGCTAAGAACTAAGCTTGAAAGATGCTGTCCATATTTTGTATCGACTTCACAAAATATATGGACGAGAGCACTCAGGTTTCTTTAAATGATGCTCAAAATCTGCAAGTACCCAATGTTTTGAAGCTAAACTGCAGGTTTGGCCATTTGGGTATCGACAAATGCGACAATTCATTAAAGCAATGAAGAAAAAACGAAGAATTAAATGCTGGGGAAGTTCCAAATTTGCGTTATTTACAATGCTTCACGGAGTATTTGAATTCATCAAGAACAAACTTCAACTACTCAAGCAGTCAAGCTGGGCTACAAACTTCAACTATCCACCAAGCTGGCTTCAAATCTTTCTTTTCTTTTCAGAGAAGATCCTAGTAGAAATAAATGAACTATTAGAAAAGTTGCTCCTCTCATGGAGAAATTCCATTGAAAGATGGTATTAAAAATTCAAGAACATCTTAAAGAATTAAACATTAAATGGTTTAACCTACCTGGGTCTTGGAGCCTCGTGTTTGGTTCGTAGATAAGAGCCACTTCAGTTCCACTCCAATTTACAGCTCAAAAAACAGAGAAAAATAACTACATTGAAGTCTACATACACGGATGCAATTGTAACAGCTACAACATGTACTTTAAAAATATCTCCAAGGGAAGATAAGAGTATTAAATGATGTACGTTAGAACGATGTTGATTCGGGAACTTACTTTCACAGGAACAAGGAGAGAAGAATTATAATAGTGCACCTAAAATTTATAGATGGTTCATAAATGTCAACCTCAGAGTTAAGATCATCTAGTAAATTATGCCTGCAAGATGTCAAATCCAATGAAAATTTCTGTAGAAAACAGGGTGTGACCAAATCCAACAAAAAAAAGATCTTATATTTTTTATTTTAATACATTTTTGTTTTCCTCTTCGACCAAACGCAGCCATTGATTGATTCCTCCCCCTGAACGAAAGCAAAGTTTCAGGCTTTTTAGTTTATTCTTAGCCCAGACAAGAATGGCCAAAGGCCGAAGAAGCCCTCACTCGAGTCATTGGGCAACTCTTCGGCCCATAGCATATAGATGTATTATTTTACTCGCTGATTGTGTAAAACAGGGTAAATTTTCATTCATAAATGCTGTCTTTCAGTTAGATTTGGTATCATTTGACATATATAATACTGATTAGTTGTAGATTTGATGATAAGTCCAATCAACTCTCCTCCTGAAATAAAATCTTTGCTTCCTCAGTGAGGCTATTATGATTTGAAATGGTCATGATTTATGAAGGTACGGGAATTTGATGCCTATCATTTATTAACATCTCTGAAAGTCAATACCAGAACCAGCAAATAGAACTGAGTTGGCACCTTATTTATCGTCGACAACATGACCATTGACTTTCCCCTATTTGAACGAGTTTACCCGAAACGCTTCATTGTCATCGCTGGAGCAGGAAGATAACTGGAAACAACCCCATCCTTCCCTTCCGCCATTGACTATCCCCACTCTGCGACTTGGAATTAAATTACTATATTTGTGAAGTTAGCATGAGGCCGTAATTGTTAATTAAATGGAGATTTTTTTTTTTTACTTTTGAGGTTTTGTTTAATACTAAAGTTTACTCCATTAGCATGCATTGGAGATTTTTCCTCTCAATTAACGGGCAATGGCATATATATCCTACACACTTGAGCAAATTGGTGGCTTTCTCCATAAAAAATCCAAAGCTCCCCATGGTTAATAGTTAATACAGCTCACCTGGATGACTAAAAGAGTTTAGTCAACCCTTAGCTAAGGGAAATTGTTCCGTCCATCCCTATAAATACTACTACTAGTAGGAAGTAAAACAAATGATTCAGATCAGGACACGGTAGTTTCACACTCGCAATCATGTTGATCTCGGGAATCCATGGCCTTCCATTGGAGGTTACAGGTTTGATAGCGATAAATACGATTTACCTCGTTCCTAATCGTCATTGCTTTAAGTTCCTATTCCAATGTCCCCTTTGCTGGCTTTAACTTACTTTGCAGTTGTTGGATGTTACAACTTGGAAGAGAACAAATGGGTATCAAGACAGGATCATTATGTCTGTCTTGAATATGGTAGTGCCAGGTTCCGAACCAAAACCTGCACGGGTAATTAATTTGTCTCTCTTGGTGTTTAATTTGCTAATTAATATAACATCAAATCAACATTGTTTCAAGTAATAAAGCTTCTGAGTTGAGGGATCTTGTAATTAGATGGAGGGAAGAAGCCTATTTTCCAAGAGAAGTTCATTTTCACACTTATTGAAGGCCTAAGGGAATTGAATGTGGTGGTTTGGAACAGCAGCACTCTCATTGCCGATGATATTATTGGCAGCGGAAGGCAAATCTCAGTCTTGATTTAATTGAAACGAACAAACTCCCTATACTCTCATAGCTTAACCCGGTTATTGCCTACTTTACAGGATTCAACTCCACAAAGTTCTTTCCCAGGGTTCCGAAGATAGCACCTGGCCTCTTCAAACCAAAATTGGCAGGTTAGTTAAATAGAAGCTTTCGTTATAACCATGGCCCAACCATTGCTAAATTTACATCTCTGATAAATTTCTTTGGCTGCAGACATTCAGGAGAAGTAAGACTCATAATGCACTACCCCAATGCCAAAGTAAGTTCCATTCCATATATTTGTAAAATCCTATTATATTAATACATTAACCTAATCGAGTAGCTATGGTTTTCAAATTTCTATTGTAGCAACCGCAAAATTGGAAGACAAAAGGAGCTCCATCACTTCCACAATATGCACCATATGCTCATCCACCACCACCATATCCGACTACGATGCCATATGCAGCCCCTTCATCTTCTTACAATCACTATAGTACAGCAACATATCCGCAATCTCCATACGCTGGCTATCCTCCTGCAAGTTTTAATTATCCTCCAAATGCTCCTCCTGCAAGTTTTAATTATCCTCCACATGTATACCCACCTCCTCCTCTGCCTTTAACTTATTATCCAGCAGGTACATTTTTTTCTATCGCTTGTGCACCTGTGCATAAATTCCTCAAAGCAAAAAATAATAATAACGACATCTGGAAACTCTATCCCATTGTTATTCTGGAAAATTTCCATGTTTTTGACAGTTTCTTCATCTGAATTTGTGATGATTGCTGCAGCTCCAACCGGAATCTATCCTCCGCCACCCTATTGAGCTCTTTAGTCACTAAAGCTGAGACGCATTACATCAACGCAAGCTAAAAGTAGTCATTATACTTTACTGAAGTGCAAGACAATTAGGCATAAGCATTATTGTAGTAAAGTAACTACTTTTCTTTAATTAAAATAAACCATCTAATTTGCTTTATAGTAATTGTAAGAACAACTGCTTGGACAACCTTGAACTGATTAAGGTGATATGTAAAGAAATCAACAAAATCCAACTAAACCGATGTATCAACCATGATTGTTGTTGAAAACATTTTGATATTTCGATATAACAAATTAAGTTAAATGAATTTTAAGATTTTCCAAATGATTTTCTAAGTATATTCGATAGAATTATTCGAATATCAAAACATTACTCCAAATCTTTCAAAGATCATTTTTAATCATTACTCAAAGTGTAAAATTAAGTTTTAATCTTAAAACAATTTCAAAATAATTTTACAAAGTATTTTGAACAATTTCAAAGCTAAAAATTCCAGATTGCTCAGAGGGAACCGATTCCCCCCTAAGGGGGTACCGATCCCCCCCTGAATGGTTTGGCTCCGAGAATTTCAGTATGCTCGGAGGGAACCGATTCCCCCCAGGGGGTACCGATTCCCCTCTTGTATAACGGTCGAAATATTTGAATTTTACACTTAGGGAACTGATTCCCCATAGGGGGTACCGATTCCCCCCACGCTCCAAGATGTTTTATTAATTGTTTTCACACTAAAACGGCTATATGATCTTCACTAATTATCCCCAACGTTCAGAAGTGATTCAAGGTGTATTTAAACAAGTTCTGAAGCCCTTGATCAACAAGAAATTATAGAGAAACAAGAGAGAAAGCATCAAACACCAAGTTTGTGCAAATCAAGCCAATTTTCCTTTCAATATTCATTTTGCTTTCAAAGAACACCATTTGTGCTCATTTGTAATTATTTGTGAGTGTTCCTTTCTTGTTCTAGAATTGTGCAAACATCTTACCTTGTGAGGTTTTCCTTGTAAGTTTGCAAATTTGTATTTCTCTTTGAGAAAAGAGTGTTCTCAAGAATTGGGGTATATTCTTGAGGGAGTTGTAAGGTTATCTCTTTGGCCTCAAAAGAAAGAACAAATTAGTGAATTTGTTGGAAAATCCTTAGTGTGGATAGCTAAGGTAGTGGACGTAGACTTTGGTTGATGAAGTCGAACCACTCTAAATCGCTGTGCAATTTCTTTCAATTTTCTGCAAAAGCTTCCACCAAAATTTTTATTGCCAATTCACCCCCTCTTGGCTGATTCAGTCAATCGATTAACTCAACAATTGGCATCAGAGCCTAACTCATTTAAAGGTTTAATCGCCTCTTGAGTCGATCCGGGAAGAGTTAAATCGATAAAGATGGTGTCCACTTCCGGTTTATTCTCCATGGAAGAATCCAGACCAATTGACGTGCCTCCACACTTCAATGGAACAAATTATCATCATTGGAAGAGGTGTATGATGATATTCATCAAAGCATTTGATATGGAAGCTTGGATGATAATCAAGAAAGGATATTCCTCTCCTACTAAGAAGGCAAAGAAGTGGAGTATTCAAGAACGGAATGAAGCTCAACAAAACTCAAAGGCTATGCACATGTTGTGTTGTGCAATTGATCCTAATGTATATAAAGGAGTTTCTTCTTGTTCAAGTGCCAAGAAAATGTGGGATAAGCTTGAGGAGATCTATAGAGACAAGGAAGAAGAAGAACCAATAAAAGTGATGTCTCTATTAGCTCTCACAGAGCCAAAGGTATCTTCTAACTAAAATATATCAAATTCAAAATCTTTTAATGAGTTACAAGATGCTTATGATAAATTATTTTCGGAGTTTGAGACCATGAACTCCAAATACAATAAATTGATTTCTAAATTTATTGCTAAAAATGATCTTCTTTTGAAAGCTAAAACAGACTTGGAAAATCAAAATGAAATGTTGAGAAATGAGTTAGAGCTTTTAAAAATAAAATCTGAAAACTTTGAAAAAGAAATTTTCAAATTAAACAAACTTCTTCTAGAAATGAAAATGGATTTTGAAAATCAAAATGAAATCTTGAAGAAGGATTTAGAACTCTCAAAAATGAAATTTGAAAGTATTGAAAAAGAAAATTTCAATTTAAAAGATAAGCTTGAATGTTTAACTAAAGAAAAAGAGATCATTCTAAATAATTCATCTAGTTCAATAATGACAATATATTCACATTGTCATTATCATGGTCATAAGGAACATACTTGTCCTTTAAAGAAAGGAAAACGATTTAAAATTAGACAAGTATGGATTCCAAATGGAACAAGAGGCATTAAACTAATGTTCAAGGATCCAAAGCAATTTGGATACCAAAATCTACTTAAATGTCTCTTGTAGGTGTGTGAGAGCAATGGTGATGAAGTTGATGATATTCAAGATGCTCTAGCCACACATGAAAAAGTAATGGGTAACCTCTAAACTTAATTTTTTTTTTTTATTTGGTTGCTCATTTATTCTATGCATCATGAGGTTTTAAATGTTAAATAATTCTAAATGATTATGTTTTGTCTCATGTATGTTGAAAAATATTGTATGATGAACATGGTAATTTTTGGTAATTTTTTTTAAATCTAGTTCATCATATTAATTTTTGGTCAAAATTGTTTTTAAAATGTAATTGATATCTCTTTAATAATTGATATTGATTTTTCAAGAACTTCGGTTTTGCAAAATTTTGATCTGAAATTTTTAATGTTTATGCATAGATTTTTGTTTAAATATTATAAAGTTTTAATGCATAACATTTTCAAAAACTTTATACATGTGCTCTTACTCTCTATAATCAACATTGCATAATGTTTTATATGTGAATGGGTTAAAAGCATAATTTTTTGAAAAAATAAATTTGATAAAAGATACAATGTTTTATTTTAAATGATTACAAAATTGATTGACATTGCATCTACTTTCGATTATGCTTATTGGTCATAAAATAGGGATATCTACATGGTGCATTTAGATTCTATTGATATGACTAATTTGTGCCTAGTTACTAAGGATGAACATGATAGTTGGTTATGGCATAGGAGACTAGGACAGCTAGTATGAGTGTTTTGCAACGGCTAATTCAAGGTGATTTAGTTCGAGTGTTGCCTAAGCTTAAATTTGATAATGATAAAATCTGTGATGCTTGTGCTAAAGGAAAACAAAAGCGAGTTTCTTTTAAATCCATTAATGATGTATCAACTAGTAGAGTTTACAATTGATCCATTTAGATCTTTTTGGGCCAACTAGAACTATTAGCTTGGGTGGAAAACAATATGCATTTGTCTTGGTAGATGACTATTCTAGATATACTTGGGTTCTATTTTTAAATACTAAAGATGAAGCATTAGAACAATTCATCATGTTTTCAAAAGTAATCCAAAATGAAAAATGTTACTCTATAACTAGTGTTAGGAGTGATCATGGAACTGAATTTGAAAATCTTGGATTTACTGAATTTTGTAACTCTAACGGTATTAGCCATAATTTTTCAGCACCTAGAACCCCTCAACAAAATGGAGTTGTTGAGAGGAAAAATCGAACTTTAGAAGAAATAGCTAGAATCATGCTTTGTGAAAATAATTTGCCAAAATATTTTTGGGCGGAAGCCACAAATACCGCTTGTTATGCTGTAAATCGAGTAATGATTAGGCCAATTTTAAAGAAAACTCCATATGAAATTTTCAAAAATAAAAAGCCTAACATTAGTTATTTTCATCCTTTTGGATGTAAATGTTTTGTTTTAAACAACGGTAAAGAAAACCTTGGCAAATTTGATGCTAAAAGTGATGAAGGAATTTTCTGGGTTATTCCTTAAATTCTAAAGTCTATCGTGTATTTAATAAAATAACTTTAGTTGTAGAAGAGTCTATACATGTTATTTTCGATGATAATCCCCTTCCGAGGAAGGATTCTTGTGTGAATGATGATGTAGGTGTTATAAATACAAATGACGTTAGACATGACGTTGGAGAACCATCATCAAAGGAAGAAACGAAAAATGAGGAAACTCATGATCCTCTTGAGAATCCAACCATTGAAGAAAGGGAAGTATCTTATCCAAGAGAGTACAACTATGTCAAGGATGGTGAAATTATAGGTGATCCATCAAAAGGGGTAACAACTCAATCTTCTCTTATAAATATTTGTAATTATGTTGCATTTATCTCATGCATAGAGCCTAAGAATATTAAAGAAGCATTAAATGATGAACATTGGATTATGGCTATGCAAGAAGAGTTAAATCAATTTGAGAGAAGTAAAGTATGGACATTAGTTGAAAGGCCTAGTAATAAATCTACTGTAGGTACTAGATGGTATTTAGGAATAAGCTTGATGAGAGTGGTAATATAGTGAGAAAAAGGCTAGACTTGTTGCTCAAGGGTATACTCAATAAGAGGGCATAGACTATGATGAAGCATACGCTCCCGTAGCTAGGATGGAAGCAATTAGAATGTTATTAGCATTTGCATGTTTCAATGAATTTAAATTATATCAAATGGATGTTAAAAGTGCATTTTAAATGGTTTTATAAAAGAAGAAGTGTATGTGGAACAACCTCCAGTTTTGAAAATTCAAATTTTCCGGATCATGTTTTAAAATTGACAAAAGCTCTTTATGGTTTAAAGCAAGCTCCTAGAGCTTGGTATGAAAGATTGTCAAATTTTTAATTGAAAAAGGTTTTTCAAAAGGGAAGGTTGACACTACATTGTTTTTGAAGCATAAAGGTAAAGATTTATTAGTAGTTCAAATTTATGTTGATGATATAATATTTGGTTCTACTAATGATGTTCTTTGCCAAGAATTTTCTAAGCTAATGCAAAGTGAGTTTGAGATGAGCATGATGGGGGAGTTCTCATTTTTCTTGGGACTCCAAATCAAGCAAAGAAAAGATGGCATCTTCATCAATCAAGCTAAGTACGTAAAGATATGCTCAAGAAGTTTGGACTGGAAAATGGGAAACCTCATGACACTCCAATGAGCTCTTCAACAAAGCTTGACTTAGATGAAGGAGGTAAATATGTAG